ATTTCTTAAATATGGTAAATATTACAAGGTCTATTTCCAACATGAAAGTTGTAAGAAATAGGTATGAAATAAAATAACTTTTAGAATATTTTCAAATATACCCTGAATAATACCATATTTATTAAAAAATAACAAAATGTAAAGGACTGCATTTTCGATGTAAAAAAAAGTTGCGATCGGTGTGGAGTGACAGACAATTTTTTAATCGTCAATTGTTTGTATTTATTCACCATGTGCCCAGTAGCGATCATTAATTTTTTATCCTCATAACAAACAACAGTTTGAAAAATCATCACTCGTAAACACTAATAACATAAAATTTTTTTAATTGAGTATTTTCATTTAAAATGATATTATGAATTGTTTCAAAATAGTAATAACTTGTCTCTTTGAAGTCATTGATGTTTAAGATTTTATTCGCAGCTATTTCTAAAACTTTTAAAAAAGATCCGAAAGTTTTTGGAAATGTTGCCAATCTTAAGAGGGGGTGGCTGAGGGCTGAAATCTCGCCAAAAACGTAGTGAACTAAAAACATGAAGTTGCTCATCAAAAGAAACATAAAATAGTATAAGAGGCTATTAATAGTGAGTTAGCGTAGCAATTATTGAGATTTGCAATCAAAAACACATTGTGAGGAGGCAACTGTCGGAGTTTCATAAGATTTTCTGGAAAAAAAAGTTTTTTTTTTCCGCAAGAGTCATGCATATGTTGTGCAATCTTTTCTGAAAGTTTTATGCATTTATTTTTTAAAAAAAAAACTTTCGAAGCAAGGAAATAAAATTATAAACATTCGAGAAAAAATTAAAATAAAGAAGAAATCTCTTACTTTCTAAAAATATGCTATTGAAAAATCGAATAAAAAGTTCAAAAAGTATTTTTCTTTTAGACTTTGAAACTCACATACGAATTCCCAAATAATGGGTAAGCATGAGATCCATAAATAAGTGTTCCGGAAAAAAAAATGTTACTAAGAAATTTTGTTTGGGCAGTAAATTATTTGATTGCCCTGCACAACAAATGTTTATAAATTAGAGTAATTTAATTAACGTAATATTTCTTTCGAAATTTGAACTACGCATATAGCGCACAAAAAAAGGAAAAAAAAACACCTTGAATATCTTTTCATCTACTGATTTGTTATTCACGTATTGCAACTCAATCCTAATGGTTCGAAGGCCTAAGCTTAAAGATGATAACCAACATAAGTAGCCATCACCCTTATGTAGGAATTTGGACTGATTCATGATGGTCAAACATAAGAATGGTAACTTTTTTGATGGTTTGTTCTTGTTAAACCATCAGAAATTTCCATCATAGTTTCTTAGAGATCAAATGTTGGAACGATCATAAACAACCATCATCTCAATGTAGGAATTCGGACCAATTTATGATAGGCCAACATACAAACTGTTTTGATGCTATATTCCTGAGAACCAACAAGAATTCCCATTAAACCACCATGGAAATGTATAGTTGATAACATCATGAATCATCACGGATTGTTGGTTCATGAGAGTCAAACTTCTCTTGAAGGAAAATTATCATAGTATTAAAGTAGCATTTTCCATCATGGAATGATGGAAGTTTGCTGACATATCAAGGACCATGATAGCACAATGGAAAATGCTGGACAACCATCAAATGATGTTGGATCATCATGAATTTCACTGAAACCAACGTAAGCCATCAAAATGATTTGATGGGACCATTAAGAATTTTGATTTGGGTAACAGTATGATAATAAAAACCATATTTTATTGCTGATTTTACCAAAAAGTCATTGCTAAAGCGTTTCGGCAATAATTATCGTACTTTTTGGTATTCTCGTAGATCCAGAAACATAGTAAATTTTATCATATTCTGGTTGTTTTGACCATGCTTTTTTTTTTCTCAGAGTAATAAATCTGATCTAAATACGAAAAGCTAGGATTAATCCAAGTACTTTGACACCTAAACTTAAAACATTTCAAGACTTGATTTACAGTAAACGATTCATATGTTAATAATATTGAGAAATATCTTTATTAGTATGAAGGTATTTTAATTTATTTTTCAAATAATTACATAATTTGAATTTGAATTACGGTTTTAATGCAGTTTCTAATGTTTCGACAAAATCTATCTGCAAGGTATTTTAGTGAATAAGGAACAAAAATAAATTTCTTGGGATGTAATGGTTATAGTTTTAAGAAGATCCTTAAAAAATACATAAAGCCAAATTTTATTGGGGCATTAAAATATTTCAACAATGTACTAAAAGAAATAAAACTCCAAGCAGGGTTTTGCTTTTAGCAAAATACTAAACTGCGTCCAAGTAATCATTTCTTGTTCCAATGATAATAAGTGAAAAGAAACATAACATTTAAAATCCTAACTATTCTCCATAAAACAGAAGTCATCAAATGCTATGAAAGAAGGGCATTGAGGGGTATTGATTTCACTTATCTTTTCACCATTTTTATTTGTTGATTGAAGCAGTTTTAAACGAAATGTTCCTGGAATTATTTCTGAAGTCCCGGAGGAACAATTAGTGGAAAGGGTATTGTACTTATAAATAGTGAAAATAAAGGTATTTTAAGTTTCTAAATAACTCGCGTTACTCATTCTCACAGATAGTAAAATTCTTTATTATGCAAAGAGTGATACAAAATAATTATCACAACATTCAATGAAATTCCAAATAACTTTTTTTGATACGTAGAAAGCGTCTTTTAGCTTCCATAAAATGTTTAATAACTCAAAGAGTTTAAAAAAAAATAGCATTACACAATATGAAAATTTTGAAACTCTAATAAATGCTTTGTTTAGTCTATGTGATATTTTACTTATTAATAGAAACCGATTACTACACTGTAAAAAAGGATTTCTCGAAATTGGGCAAAATTGCATCAAAATAGCTCCGAAACAAATACAGTCGAACTTGAAAACCCTGTGTATACTTTGTCTATGTAAAGAACTCCCCTAGCCACTTGTCTCAAATAGTGGTGGTGACTATGGTTACGAGGTTTAACTATTTCAAGTAGAAGTGTTAAGACAAGTTTTGCCTCGGGCCGGCGAGAGAAAGGGAAGCAGGGGAGAAAGAAACTCCTCTCTTTGAAATGGGCTGCTTCATGGTTCCATAGCAGCAGACGGCCTTAGACTTTGTGGCGAGGGGAGTTCTTTCTATTGACAAACTATATTCATTATTGAGTACAGTGACGTGCTCAAAATTGTGTCAGTTCTAAAAATTCGTCTTTATTTGCAAATTAACATCGCGACGAGGAAGAAAAGGGTTGATTACCGATCGGAAGACATTCTTTGTGAAATAAAGTGGGAATGAAGGTTAGTGGAGTATAATTTTATCCAATTAGATTTTCTTTTCGAATATTTGATAGCAACGAAACTCATAAAATTTGTAACATTTGAGGATGATGTGCCACTTTGTCATTTTTGAGACTATTCAATTTTGAGCACACTACTGTACTCAATAAGGAGTACATGGGTTTTCAAATTCGACTATATTTGTTTCGGAATTATTTTGAGAAGCCTTTTTTTTACAGTGATACGCTTTGCAGTACATGTGAAATATAGGTGTATATGTAAGTGTTTGTATAATGCACTGGTGTGCGAAAATTAAGGACGAAGTGGTCTTTCGAATGTAAGTTTGAACAACAGTGTTGAAAATCAATAAAAATCATACCATAGGATCCTCAAAATGTAAGAATATGGGAAAGTAAATAAATTGCAAAAATAATGTAATCCATAGAAACAATAAGGAACTTTATTGAAATACAGGCTTAAAACACAATTGCACAAATGACCAAAAAGTAAATGTTACACAGAAATGGCAAGGAAGCCTTTAGTATAGGATAGGATCATCGCTGTCTGCTATGCAGGATTGACATCGTTTGCCTATGCTAAGGACCAGGATGTTAAGAAGCTTTTGAGGAACTGCTGCCTATTCCTGTTGTCGTGCCAATCACATCTGCGGAATTGTTGCAAGCGTCTCCTTAGAGTGTCCCTCACGTGTTTAATCGGATTAAAATCTGGGCACCTCACATGCCACTTCACGCGTGCAATATCTTTACTCTCCAACAGTTTTGTGACAGTCACTGTGCGATGAGATGTAGCATTATCGTCCATAAAATCGGTCTTTTTCGATGGTATTAGAAGAGTTATTGCGTGTCACTCGCTCTCTCTAGATGTGTATGCGTCCGGAATAACTGGTCAGACTAAATCTTCTCTCATCCGTAAAGAGTTCTCGACCTTATTGCGCATCTGTTCAGTTGTGTGTTCTTGGCACCACATTAAACGGCGTTTCCAGTGAACTGGCACTAATGGAACACGCAATTCTATTGCAATTTAAAGAAAAAAAAAGCGTTTAATGTATTTCCTGTGGAAGGCTCAGCTTGGCGACATATATTTTTACTGACTTGGCGACAAATTAAGCAACAAACTTATATTTCTGGAGTTCAGGTTTCAAAGAAATACGGAACTTAAGTTTACAAAGAATCGTCTAGAATAGCTGCGAAAATTCCACGATTTCATCACCAAGCCAATATAAATACGAGTGATCTCTCCGTAAAGAGATTAGTTTGCAGCTAGATACTTGTTATTCTTTCTGCTGCATTACTCTATTAAAGTTGTAATTGTCAGATTTGAGTGCTGTAAATAGTTCTGTTATCTGAAAGATTCAGCTGCTAAAATTTGTAAGTTTTAGGGACTGTTTTATTCGTTTTCAACCAAAACGAACACCCTTTACTCAGTATAATATGTTTGTTTTTTACTGTAAAAATATAATTCTCCATAATGTAGAAAATATTAACTTATTTTATATAGATTCTCTTTATAACTTAATAAGTTTTCAGTTCAAACAGAGTTTAATTTTTACGCATTAGTTCAATACAAATTCGATGAATTGCTTAGTGTTAAGTAACTATTTAACAGCATCTTATTAAACGTTTGCCGTCGTAGTTAAAAACGCAGTCATTTATCTCACCATTCTAACTTTTTCTTTTCAGTATTGCTCCGTCAACTTCCAGGAATTGATTAATAAACGAAGAAGATCATTTATCTCCAGGGACATTATTTATCCAGTGACTCATGCAGCAGCTTTAATGACTTCAGTAATTTCGGATTAATACTGGGAAATAGGTAAAGAACTTAATGAAGAGACATTTATAATCATTCATTTAGTTTCCTGAGACTGATACATCACACAGTTCGCATGAATGAATACTTTTTTTTGTTTTATTTTATTTTAAGTACCTCTCTTAAAGGTTTTGCAAATTTAAAATTCCGTTTAGTTCATCTTTTTCGTTACTATAGTTTATAAGTTGATAGTTTACTTGTATTTATTGATGCCTTTCAAGTTTTAAATTTAATCACGGAACAAAAAACTAAATGAGATTCATTTAATCGTATTTTCGCCTCTTTAATACCTGGTTTGAGATTAAAATGAGTAATTAAAATAAATAGATGTATGCCTAAAGGTAAAATAAATTTTACTTACATTTTGTAATTTTATTTATTATAATAAGAATGATGAATGAGAGGAAGATTAGATTTCACCTTCGATTAACCCAATACTATGCATGCAAGTCGTGTCATAAATATTTTATTTTATACCCTTGAACAGCCGACCAAATTTTGTGTTAAAGAACTTTGAGTTATTGAATTTGAGTTAATGAATTTTGAGTTATTGAATTATCAACGTTCAACCTTGTAGCTTTGTATTCTTGAACGCAACCCAGATGACAAGAGAACTCCTGGATCAAGCATTCAGATGAACTAGCTTTGGGGGAGGAATTCTTAATGGAAGTAGTCCACACTTGCATTACAAGGACAGGATAGCCACGAAAGCCTCCCATGGTTAGTCCAACCACAAGAGGATTCTAATCCATGATGTACTTACCACTGATGATATATTACATCAGCATTGTGGTCGGTGAGAGCCGGGTGCAGAGCTTGTAAAGACCAGTAAATGCTGGTGATCGAACCTGGATCACTTCGTTGGGAGACGAGCTCTCTATTACCTGATCCATCACTGCTCGTCACTATGGTGAATATTTGTATCAAATAAGTGCGTGGTCGACAAACGATATTCCATGTAAAATTTCGCTATTCTAGAAAATGGTTTAACAGGGTGACCCGTAAATATTGATAAAAAGGTTAAGAGGAGTTTGGGCAATTCAAATGGATGAACATTTCATAGCAACATGACAGGCAGTGTTATCGAACGCTGCTAAGAACGATTCCTTATTATGAACATATTGATCGCGCGTCTATAAACCGATATTTCGTCCAAAATATCATAATTTTAGTTTCTCTAATAATTCTTGTTAAAAATTTCATTCAAATAGGTGCAGAAATAACTGATTCGGCAAATAATTTGATAAGCTAGCTACAATATTCAATTACGCCGACCGGCCTGTGTAGGAAGCAGGAAACTGTCCTTGCATCAGAAAGGGTCTTGGTTTTGAATCCCGGGCAAGAAATGGATGTTCTTTCCTTCTCTGTACTATCTGTCCTCACTGTGGGAGCGATGTTGACCCGCCTAATATGGTACCCTTGAAAGAGAGGTCAGCAAAAATCGCCCTGTAATTGCCTGAATTGACGGATGTTAACACAGGTAGGCATTGGAAAAAAATATTCAATTACGATAAAACAGCTAATTATGTACCCATTTGAATGCAAATTTTTGACAAGAATTATAAGAAAAAAACATAAAATTAAATTTATTTACATCACATAACAGCTACACAATGGTCTATTGGTGATGGTCTGGAAAACCTCCCTTGGGATGATCCTAAGACATACCATCACAATTTAGATCCTATTTAGAGGAGATTGCTCCCAGCTTTGACAGCTCGATGACTTGCACACGAAGTCGAGAACTTGTAGACCAGTTGAAGGATGATCGATACTACTCACCCAGGGTTCTTTTGCTAGCTGATCGAAGTGGCCATTCACCCGCTCACTGACTTCAGCCAGAGATGCTTGATTTCGGAGTTCTGAAATCATGCATTCTTGATTTCGGAAATCATGCATTTAACTCTATTTTTTTGATTTTCGCAACCTTCTCTTTTAGTTCATATAATGGGTTTCGTAACAATAAAGCCACCTTGATTTTGTGTCGTAAATTGACATTTAGTAAACCAATAAGAACGAAATCTGTACATTAAGAAAGTGTATAAACAAATACATATATAAGAAGAGTAACTCACCTTCTGTTCCTCCTTAACAAGAAAAAGTATTGAATATGTGGAAAAGTGGCGAAAAAGTGTTTCACCGAAATCCACCACTTGTTTAAATTGCCAATATATCCACCGTATTTATATATGACATGAAATAAACAAAGTTGCATACCATTTACCAATTTCCGGAAAGAAGCTGCATCCATATTTTCTCAGGTTTCAATGATTGCAGGCCTCAATTCTGTCCCAGATTGAAACGATCAGTTTTTGGGATATATTGCCCATCCAAAGAAAGCTCCTCATATTTACTTGGGATTGATATCAGGAGAAAATGAAGGGCGTTCGACATCATGCATACAATCCAAAAGTCATACCCGTGAAGATTTTGTAACATGAATGGAGGCATTGTTCTGATTGAAAATACACAATGGGTCGTAAGTTACCTCCGCAAATAGTAATAAATGGGATTCTGGCATTTTTTTTGGTGTCCTGAAAACTTTCTGGGACTAAAACCGGGTTAAATTAACCACCACAACTTGAGCATTTCCATGCCATTTATAAGCCTTCATTTTTCCGCGTAATGAAGAAGAAAGCTTCTTTTCGAGTCATGGTACGAAATACCATTCGGAAACTCGATTTTTTAAAATTTCATTTGCTTGTGGATCACATTTAAGATAGAATACTGTTTTTTATTTTATTTTTATAACCATTGTTGAACAGTCGACCCTCGACAGATCGAGTTTTGGGCTTACGACTACTAATGTTCAACACCATAGCCTTGTAATTTTGAACACCCAATCCAGAAGACAAGGGAGCTTCTGGATCAAGTATTGGGAGAAGTTTGCCTTCGTGGAGGACTGTTTGATGGAACTAACCCGCATTTGAATTACATGGAGAGGAAGCCCATGAGAACCTCCTTCGGTTAGCCTTACGGCAAAGGGACTCTAACCCATGATCCGTCTACCACTGAGGATATTTCACGTCAGCTCTGAGGTCAGTGCAAGCCGGATGTGGATTCTTATCGACCAGCCATCGGTGGGATTCGAACCCGGTTTACCTCATTGGAAAGCTAACGCTCTATCACCTGAGCCATCGCGGCTCATGGAATACTGTTTAGCTCTTTTATATCGTAAGTTGGAGGGAACAGTCTGGCTGGTAGGGCATTGGGAGCATTTTCAAGAGGTCGTGAGTTCAATCCGCGCCAGCCGAGGACTCCCCGTGTAGTAAATGGTGACTGGTGCACGTTAAATCTGTTGGGATACAAAGCCCTCTATGTTCCCATACCAAATCATACCTCTGCGGTTATTGAATTGGAGATTTGTCGTTATTTGTTTCAGGTTAAAATTACTATCTGTGGCTGAATGAATGATCGGGTTCACCCCATAAACGGGCTGTGACGTGTGTGTGGCTAAGTTTATATTCTTGGCAATGGTGCTACTAAAAAACAAGAAAAGTACCCTCTACCCTAAATTCAATTGGCTTTCACGAAGCAGGCTTGCTGGCATTGACAAGTGGCATTATAAACAACATCAACAATATATTGCAAATTGTTCGTACGATATATAAAACGAAACAGTAATTGTAAAAAAAAAGAAGGAATCTTCTTTTAAGCAAAGCAAAGAAGACAATCAAAAGGCTTTGGTTATGGAGGCAATTTTTTCTCCAAGCTGAATGACAGCCAAACATCAAAACAAGTAGTAGAAATTTCATTCATCTGTCGATTTCTATCATTTGTCGAGATAAAGGGTGATTTTAATTGCGTTTCCCAGCAGGGCCATGCCTGATTTCTCATTGCAAAATCATCACAGATATAGTTTGTAGATAGTAGTTCATAGAACTGCCTGCTTTCTACCCTGATCTCAATCACAAGAAAACGTGAGGAGGTATCCTCAGTAGAGTAATATATACACATATATAGGGCAAAAAAAAAACAGGCAGTTTCAGTCTGGGGCAGAATCGAGGCCAGCTATCTTTGAAACCTGGGATAATATTGATGCAACTGTCTTGCAGGGATCAGCAAATGGTGTGCAACATTGTATATTTCATGTCATATTTGTGGGGCAATTTTTCTCCCTGCCTCTTTGCACAATCAATATTTTCCCTGTTTAGGAGGGGCAGAAAGCGAATTGCTCCAAGTGAACATGCAGTTGTAAATGCACTTTCTTCATGTACAGTGTGAAAAAAAAATAAATCTTGAATAACATTTGATTCCCCTAATGATCAGATTTTCATGTACAAGGACTCAATCTAATGATTCGGGCATGTGGCCTCTTACATGCTAATTATTTAGTTCATACAATATTTTAAGTTACAAAATAGGACACAAAAACGCATTTTCTTTAAAAAAATAAGCTCTTAAAAACGGATTATACACTTTTAAAACATAGGAAGCAGCCCCAATCAGGAAATTGTTGTCTCAATAATTCTGAAGGAGAACATGTTTTAAGTTTAGCCTTTTTTTGTTAATTTTCTGCTTTCAGTAATTCTCTATGTCTCTGGAACAAATAAAGAGAAACAAGCAATTTTAGTACACAATCATATAAAACTACCATTTTTCTTAGTGGCAAATTATTCTTCATAATCCTATACTATTTTTTTATTATTTAATTTTAAAAAGAGATAAAAAAAGTTTAAAGTGAAAGGTATAAAAACTTGATTTCAAACTATGCAATGTTATTTAACAGAAATAAATAAACGAATAAATAAATGTGATCAACCGAAACTTTTCCGAGTCATTAAATTTCAAAGAAATCAAACTTTTAAACATTCATATTTAAGTCTTTCACATCAGAAAAAGTTAAAAAATGATCACGGCGTTCAGTTTACTTAGCTTACAAAACTCATAAAATTTTATGGTATGGCAAACAGTTTAAAGTTAAGTTTACATGCATCAAATGATGCATCAAATTTTTAATGCATTAACTTTATATTTTTTAAAAGAATATATATTTACGTAAC